ACCCATATCCAACACATAACAAAAAAAGTATCCAAAATGGTGGGGATCCTCTCCAAGATACGATACTACTTGCCGCAAACTGCCCTTCTCACACTATACCGTTCACTTATATATCCATACCTCACCTATGCTATCTGTGCTTGGGGTTCAACTGCAGCAACACACCTAAAGCCAATAATAACCCAATAAAAAGCCACTAAATCCACTAAATCCCATCCCTGGCAACCCTCCCCCCCCCACTCTTCATAGATCTAAACTTACTCCCTGTTCAGAACATCCACACTTACTACTGTGCAATCTATATCTACAGGACCTTAAATTCCAATATTAACTTTAACCTAAAATGCTTTCTTGATAGTTGTGACAGGATCCACAGGCATAACACCAGACACAAACATCTCTATGACATTCCCCGTGTTCGACTAAACCTTTACAAAAATTCAATGTATTTCAAAGGACCTAAAATCTGGAACACCCTACCTGAAAACTAGAACTGCAGACACATTCATCACTTTCAAAACTACAGTTAGAAAACATCTTATCTCCCTGATACACCCCGACAACTAACTACATGATAACCACCTGGTGGTTCACAATTACTCTCATTCACCCACTGACTATAAACCCAGAAATACTAATCTTAATCTTAAAATAATAAATCCTAGCCAGTCATAAGTTTGCCTATGATACTCCAATATAGACACTGTGTATTGTGCCAAAACAAAAGCATTCACATTGCTAAACTCACAAATTATGATGTAGTCACTTAGCCTTAATACCATAATCTGTAAGGATTCAATGTTAAGAATTAATCTAAGTCTGCCCGAAATGCCTAGCCATGCTAGGTGTCCTAGTGGCCCCCTCTGTAATTAGTATTTTATAACATGTAAACCACACAATACCCAAAACCTGTAAACCCCACATTGTAACCCTTATAGAGAGTAAACTTGAATTGAATTGAACTAATGATCAAGGAATTGGTGAAAATATTGACAATAACCCAAATAACGCTCAGCCCATCACCTCTGGGTTGGCCAGTGGGGCCAGGCACCTCTGGAATGGCCAGTGTTACAACTCAGAGGCTGCTACGCAAGAGGAAATTATCATATTCTGTCATTTTTGGTGAAGATGAGAGTGAGTGATATAAGTGATGACGAGATTGATTTTATGACCATAGATGAATCGTCAAGTGATGGTGATATACATTATTCCCCAGTGAAACATATCTTTAAGTGTCATTGCCTATGTTCAGGCAGTGTGTCATATGCAGTGCCCAAGGGTCGTGGGAGGTCACAATCGAAAACTCCAGCAACTGATAGTGACAGTGATCATGAAGGAGGTGGTGGTGGTGGGTGGCATGGTACCTGGCCCACATGGCGCATTAGGTGGGCAGACAAAGGACTGCCTGACACCCCCTCAACCACGTCCTGCCTCCACTCACATCCCCCCTCCTGCTCCCCCACACCCCATGGCTCAGGTCCACCCTGCACCATGTGATTGTGAGTGGAACTGGACACAAAGTACAACATTCGTGCCACATCCTTTCAATTTTGATGTCAGTAGAAGTGGCATCCTCCCACAATGTCCCATCACGAATGAGTCTACAGAGTTAGACTTTTTCCAACTATACTTTGATGGGCTGCTAATGAACTTGATTGTCACCCAGACAGACAATTACTACCTCTATATAATGGACAACACAGAGGTTGCAGAATCATCACGGCTGTGCAGATGGAAAGATACAACTGTGGCTGAAATGTATTTATTCCTTGGCACTGTCATGCTTAGGCCTCATATGTATAAGCACAATACAGCACAGTACTGTTCCACATACTACATACTTCTTCAGTACTCCTGTCTTCCATGACTTCCTTCCTTGCAACAGATTCACTCTGTTGCTACAAATGTTGCACTTCTCAGACAGGAATAGGCCCGACAGAAATGACCTTCTATACAAAATCTGGGAAGTGTTTATGTATCTGAAGCAGAAATTCAGTTCCTATATTTATCCATTCAAGAACATTGTTGTCGACGAGTCCTTGATTCTGTTCAAGGGACGCCTGTCATTCAAGCAATATATACTGAGCAAACGTAATCACTTTGGTATAAAACTGTTTGTTATGTGTGACTGTGAGAGTGGCATAGGGTTGGATATCACTGTCTACACCTGGAGAAACACACTCAATGATGATAAGTGGATGTTGGGCATTTCCGGTGATGTTGTTCGCAAAATTGATGGAGCCATACCTTGGCAAGGGTCATACATTGTTCACAGACAACTAGTATACAAGCCCTATGCTTACTGATTTCCTAAATGTGAACAATACTGATATATGTGGAACAGTGAGAAGAAATAGAAAACATATGCCAAGGTTCAATGGAAGCAGTGCTGAAGGTGCAGTGCAAGCATTTCATGCCAATGACATCATGGCACTGACATGGCATGACAAATGGGACATGACATTGCTGTCAACCATCTACAGAAATGAGATGGTACAAACAGACAAAGTGAACAGGGACACCAATGAATGCATTGTAAAGCCAGCTGCTGTTGTCAACTATACGAACAATATGCGACTAGTCGACAAGTGTGACATGATGATAGGGTTCATTGACTGTGTGTGTAGGAATCACAAGTGGTATATGAAAGTGCTTTTCCACCTTGTAGACATTGCAGTGCTCATTGCCTTCAATATGTATGAAATAAAGACTGGAAAATGACTTTGTTATGCAGAATTCACCCTAAATGTTATCAAGCAGATAGCAAAAAATTATGGTACCACACCTATACCTGCCCCTCAACAGCGACCTGTCACACCACAACCTGTTCCCTAACCACAAACAGTGGGGAAAGTGCTAGACCGAATCTTCAATAACTGTCACTACCTGATACCAATACTGCCTACCCCAAAAAAGAAGTATTCTCAGAAAAAGTGTATTGTGTGTGCTAACACCTCAAGGCGACCCCAACAGCGGAAGGACACACGATTCCTGTGTCAGCACTGTGGAGTGGCACTCTGTATGAATCCATTTTTCATGGAGTATCATACAATCCTGGAGTACTAGAAACATAACTGGGACATGTAAATACTTGTATAGTTGTAGAAATAGAATGTGATCCAGCCAGGTGTACAATATCACCTATAAGCATGTACATGTGTGTTTGTGACAGTATGATTAATAATTTCATGCAGAATATTTGTGTCTAAACAACAATTGGCTATCATATCAAAAAATCTACTATAAAACATTATTATCATACCATAAAAACTGTGAAAATTAAAAAAAGGGAAAAAGATAAATCTGTAGAATTTCTGCAAGCGGCAGCGTTTCATGTTGCCGTCAGGTGAGCGACACTCGCCGACTTTGTGGCCTAATATCTCCGTAAGTACTGACTCTTAAAATTTTTTTCTTACATTTATGTAAAATGAAAGCCTGTAATTGTTTTACATGATGGTAGAATTGCTGGTGTCCATTTTTCTGTCTCATAAACATGCAAGATTTCAGGTACGTCTTGCTACTTCTACTTACGCTTAGGTCACACTACACATACATGTACAAGCATATACTGTATATACACACCCCTCTGGGTTTTCTTCTATTTTCTTACTAGTTCTTGTTTATTTCCTCTTATCTCCATGGGGAAGTAGAACAGAATTCTTCCTCCGTAAGCCATGCGTGTTGTAAGAGGCGACTAAAATGCTGGGAGCAAGGGGCTGATAACCCATTCTCCTGTACAAATTACTAAATTTAAAAAGAAAAACTTTTGTTTTTCTTTTTGGGCCACCCTGCCTTGGTGGGATACGGCCGGTTTGTTGAAAAAAAAAATGTAAAAAATGTCCTCTTTATTTATTTTTTTTTTTCAAATTATGCGAAGCGCTGGGCGAGAGAACGTAGATCTACGTTTGGACAATTAAGGGGTTAAATTTAATAATGTATACAAGAGAAGGGGTTACTAGCCCCTTGCTCCCAGCATTTTAGTCACCTCTTATGACACGCATGGCTTATGGAGGAAGAATTCTGTTCCACTTTCCCATGGAGATAAGAGGAAATAAACAAGAACAAGAACTGTATTAAGAAAACAAGAAAACCCAGAGGGGTATGTACATATATGCTTGTACATGCATGTGTAGTGTGACCTAAGCACAAGCAGAAGTAGCAAGATATACCTGGTATCTCACATGTTTATGAGGCAGAAAAAAAAAAAGAAACCAGCAATCCTACCATCATGTAAAACAATTACAGGTTTCCATTTCACACTCACTTGACAGGACAGTAGTGCCTCCCTGGGTGGTTGCTGTCTACCAACCTATTACCTATATGCCTTTTTTCTACATCCATAAATACAATGAAAGGTTAGTTACCCTTATCTAAGTATTGTTCCCTTATGTACTTCAGTGTAAACACTTAGCCCACACATCCCCAACCTTTCCTAAAATCTCTTATGTTTACCTGCAGTCCTATTCTGTCTTACCTATAATTCTTTCAATAATTACTATACACGCTACCCAATACAGTGGACCCCCGGTTTACGATATTTTTTAATTCCAGAAGTATGTTAAGGTGCCAGTACTGACTGAATTTGTTCCCATAAGGAATATTGTGAATTAGATTAGTCCATTTCAGACCCCCAAACATACACGTACAAACACACTTACATAAATACACTTACATAATTGGTCGCATTGGGAGGTGATGGTTAAGCGGGGGTCCACTGTATACTCGTCAGAAAATCATAAACATCTACGAAAATACCATACTGTAATTTTGTACCATACTTTTTAACAAATAATCAACTATATTGAATTTTGTATTGTATCATATTGTTCTACCAGCCTTGCCTGAATTTAAGCTTTCTCCAAGTAACATTTGAACACTTTATGTAGTGGAATGTTTTGTGATTCTTGATAAATACTGCATTCCAGGAATTAGGCCAGCTGTTAAGTGCAGATTCTCAGATGTATCACTAAGATTTGATTTACTATAATTTTTATGTACAGGGTATGCAAGATTGAGGAGGAACGTATGAAGATACAAGATATACTTTCAGAGGCATCATTAAGGATTGAGCCTAAGTGCTGTTTGGTTGATGTTAGTATTGAAACTGCTATAGAGAAGGCAAATAAAGTAATGTCCACCTTGGGAGATAGTGACCAATACACTATCAAGCATAATGCAGCATTAAGATCTTCCAATGGAATAATGTTCCATAATAACAATGGTATTCCTCGAAAGACTGAAGAAAGCATCACCAGTAATAAATTTTCTACTAATCACCATGGCTGTGCTGCATCCATGGTTGAAGAGGAATCTAAGCCTAACATTCTAAGAAAAGCAACACTTACATATCCAGAAGGCATCATACATGGTGAAGAAAGTATTAAAAATCAATTGCAGTATCAGAAAGAAGAATTTTGGGCTTCTCTTGTAAAGCGTGGCTTCCTGAAGCCACGTGAAGTCACAGAAATTGGTACACAAGATATAAATAATGTTGTAGAGATGATGATGTGTCAGGATTCTTATTTGTCCCATGGTAATGATAGCGGTGAAAAAAAAATAAGGGAAACCAAGGACGGGGAAAACTTGTTAAATTTAAGACAGGGAATTGCCAAGGTACGCAAGTCATTAACTGGTAGCAATACCAAGCAGCAGCAGCAGTACACTAGAACAACAGTACAGTTGGAAAATAAAGAAACACAGATAAGTTCATCATCATTACCAAACAAATCTCCTGGGTCTCATCATTCATTAGGGTCCAGTGTAAACCATGCTGCATCACTTGAAAATATTCTTGATGTTTTTAGTAACAATAATGGTGCATGTAGTGGTGGTGAGGATGATGTCTCTGTTAGTAAAGCAGCTTCTAGTAATGTTTCCGTGAAGACCAGTGGCTCTCATCAATCTTCATCAGTGTCAAAGTCGGATGGTTCACTTGGCTTTCCATCCTATGATGGAGTTAGCAACTCTGAGTAGAACTTAGAGATTTTTTTTTATCACGGCTGTTTCCCACTGAGGCAGGGTGACCCAAAAAGAAAAAACACTTTCACCATCATTCACAGATAATCACTGTCTTTGCAGAGGTGCTCAGATACGACAGCTTAGATATCACTCCAAACAGCCAATATCCCAAACCCCTCCTTTAAATTACAGGCATTGTACTTCTCACCTCCAGGACTCAAGTCTGGCTAACTGGTTTCCTTTAATCCCTTCACAAAATATTACCCTGCTCACACTCCAACAGCTAGTCAGGTCCCAAAAACCATTTGTCTCCATTCACTCCTATCACACTCATGCACGCCAGCTGGAAGTCCAAGCCCCCTCGCTCACAAAACCTTTACCTCCTCCCTCCAACCTTTCCTGAGATGATCCCTACCCCACCTTCCTTTCCCTACAGTTTTATACGCTCCCAAAGACATTCTACTTTGTTCCATACTCTCTAAGTGACCAAACCACCTCAACAACCCCTCTTTAGTCCTCTAATACTTTTAGTAACTCCACACCTCCTCCTAATTTCCACATTATGAAATCTCTGCAAAATATTTACACCATTCATGGCCCTTAGACACGACATTTCCACTGCCTCCAGCTTTCTCATTGCTGCAGCATTTATAACCCATGCTTCACACCCATATAAGAGTGTTGGTACCACTATACTTGTACATTCCCTTCTTTGCCTTCATGGATAACGTTTTTTGTCTCCACAGATACCTCAAAGCACCACTCACCATTTTTCCTTCATCAGTTCTATGGTTAACCTTGTCCTTCATATACCCATCTGCTGACAAGTCATCTCCCAAATATCTGAACGCATTCACTTCTTCCAGACTCCCTCCAATGTGATATTCACTTTTTCTTTAAATCGTTTGATACTCTCATCACCTTACTCTTTTCCATGTTCACTTTCAACTTTCTACACCCTCCCAAACTCATCCACTAACCTTTGCAACTTTTCTTTAGAATCTCCCAAAAGCACAGTATCAGCAAAAAATAACTATCAACTCCCATTTTGTATTTGCTTCCCAACACCCAATAACTTAGATTTTTTTTTTTTAACAAGTCGGGCTGTCTCCCACCAAGGCAGGGTGACCAAAAGAGAAAGAAAATCCCCAAAAAGAAAATACTTTCATCATCATTCAATACTTTCACCTCACTCATAATCACTGTTTTTGCAGAGGTGCTCAGAATACAACAGTTTAGAAGTTTTTTTTTTTTTTTTTTTATCACACTGGCCGATTCCCACCAAAGCAGGGTGGCCCGAAAAAGAAAAACTTTCACCATCATTCACTCCATCACTGTCTTGCCAGAAGGGTGCTTTACACTACAGTTTTTAAACTGCAACATTAACACCCCTCCTTCAGAGTGCAGGCACTGTACTTCCCATCTCCAGGACTCAAGTCCGGCCTGCCGGTTTCCCTGAACCCCTTCATAAATGTTACTTTGCTCACACTCCAACAGCATGTCAAGTATTAAAAACCATTTGTCTCCATTCACTCCTATCAAACACGCTCACGCATGCCTGCTGGAAGTCCAAGCTCCTCGCACACAAAACCTCCTTTACCCCCTCCCTCCAACCTTTCCTAGGCCGACCCCTACAGACTGATACACTCTTGAAGTCACTCTGTTTCACCCCATTCTCTCTACATGTCCGAACCACCTCAACATATATAGAAGTATATACGTATGAAGATACACAACATGTCCCTCCAAACGGCCAATATCCCAAACCCCTCCTTTAAAGTGCAGGCATTGTACCTCCCATTTCCAGGACTCGAGTCCGGCTATATATAAATAACCGGTTTCCTTGAATCCCTTCATTAAATATTACCCTGCTCACACTCCAACAGCTCGTCAGGTCCCAAATACCATTTGTCTCTATTCACTCCTATCTAACATGCTCATGCACGCTTGCTGGAAGTCCAAGCCCCTTGCCCACAAAACCTCCTTTGCCGTCTCCCTCCAACCTTTTCGAGGACGGCCCCTACTCCGCCTTCCCCTACAGATTTATACGCTTTCCATGTCATTCTACTCTGATCCATTCTCTCTAAATTACCAAACCACCTCAACAATCCCTCTTCAGCCCTCTGACTAATACTTATAATAGCTCCACACCTACTCTTAATTTCCACACTCCGAATTTTCTGCATAATATTTACACCACACATTGCCCTTAGACAGGACGTCTCCACTGCCTCCAACCGCCTCTTTGTTGCAGCATTTACAACCCAAACTTCACACTCATATAAGAGTGTTGGTACTACTATACTTTCATGCATTCCCTTCTTTGCCTCCATATATAACGTTTTTTGTCTCCACATATACCTCAATGCACCACTTGCCTTTTTTCCTTCATCAATTCTATGATGACCCTCATCCTTCATAAATCCATCCGCTGGCACATCAACTCCCAGATATCCGAAAACATTCACTTCTTCCATACTCCTCCTCCCCAATTTGATATCCAATTTTTCTTTATCTAAATCATTTGATACCCTCATCACCTTACTCTTTTCTATGTTCACTTTCAACTTTCTACCTTTACACACACTCCCAAACTCGTCCACTAACCTTTGCAATTTTTCTTTAGAATCTCCCATAAGCACAGTATCATCAGCAAAAAGTATCTGTGACAATTCCCATTTTGTATTTGATTCCCCATAATTTAATCCCACCCCTCTCCCAATCACCCTAGCATTTACTTTTTACAACCCCATCTATAAATATATTAAACAACCATGGTGACAATACACATCCCTGTCTAAGACCTACTTTTACCGGGAAGTAGTCTCCCTCTCTTTTACACACCCTAACCTGAGCCTCACTATCCTCATAAAAACTCTTTACAGCATTTAATAACTTACCATCTATTCCATATACTTGCAACATCTGTCACATTGCTCCTCTATCCACTCTATCATATGCCTTTTCTAAATCCATAAATGCAATAAAAACTTCCCTACCTTTATCTAAATACTGTTCACATATATGCTTCAATGTAAACGCTTGATCTACACATCCCCTACCCACTCTAAAACCTCCTTGCTCATCCGCAATCCTACATTCTTTCTTGCCTCTAATTCTTTCAGTAATAACCCTACTGTACTCTTCCTGGTATACTCAGTAAACTTATTCCTCTATAATTTTTACAGTCTCTTTTGTCGCCCTTTCCCTTTATATAAAGGGACTATACATCTCTCCGCCAATCCCTAGGTACCTTCCCCTCTTTCATACATTTATTAAACAAAAATACCAACCACTCCAACACTATATCCCCCCCTGCAATATTAATAAAGTCTCAAGAACAGCATGGCAATAAATGTGGCATATGGTATTGATACAGAAACAAAATTTGTTGTTCAGTTTTAAAGGTGCTCTTTTCCTTATCAGTTGTGGTGTTCCATAAGGCTCATACTTCTGTTTAATCATGCTGTTTTTGTTAATTATTAATGATCTTTACTGTATATCCAGTACTATCCACTACACTGATGCTACCTGATCTTTGCAATCTTCTTCATATTTCAGAATCTCTCAGTGGTATGTGATTATTCAGTTCTAATAAAACTCATGTTTTACATACTCTTCCTTATTCATATCTTTACAACGCTCTTTTCTTGAACCTCAGTCATTATAATTATAACAACTTGGTAATAATTTATCAAAAAAAAAAAAAAAAATTTCTGAAGACCTTAACATAACCGAGGTCAGTCGTTAAACCCCAAAGCCCCGAGTTTCCTAAACAGCACATGCATTCCCACTTTCAGTACTCGACACACCAGAATCACCATTTTTTTTTTTTTTGGCAAGACAAAAATAAGTCCCATATACAGCAGGCACAATTACTGATAACAGCCAACCACTACCCCACCCTTCTAATAATGAGTGCTCATGACTTGGTTGGTATCATCCTCAGCTCTCTCTCACTGAGGATCTGGGATTGATCTCCGGCACCTAGGCATTAGTTGACTGTTGTGGGTCACATCCTGGGAGACAAGATTAACCTAAGGTACTTTAAATGCTCTGCATAACCAGGGCCTTTCTATATAGTATAACAGTGATGTCAGCTAAATCTGCAGCAGTGTTATCATGTACTTGTAGTAATAACAATAATTATTATTAGTATCACAATATTATTCATGTAGTAAGCAATATAAAATGGAAAAGATATATAAAACATCAGTACAGGTAGTTGTAGTTTTCTCAGCAAAATATAACTACGTATTGTCTAAAAGCCAGAGAATTGCAGTAATGAATATGATAATGGTATACAGTACCTGCAGGTTGATAGGTAAGACTATTGCACATGTCTCTTATCAGTTGCAGTAATGAGAAAAAAAAAATACCTGGATACATTTATAAGATAGATAGAAAGATGTGCAGACTAATATTTTATTAAGTCCACCATATGTAGAAGCAGGCAGTTGTTACTTGCTAAATGTTCCTCATCTAACAAAACAAGAAATTGTGGAGAGAGAGTTTATTATCCCTACCATGCTGATCTCACTGAGAGTTCTGTGGTCATGGGCCTGCTGTTGGTTATTATCATTATAATCAAAAAGAAGTGCTAAACCTACAAGGGTCATAGAGTGCAGGGCCTGCTGCTGAGCAATACCATCTTAAATTAATGCTGGTGTCATGGTTAGTTTTAATTAATACACTGATATTCATTTGACTTTGTGTGACTTTTGTAAATGGTCCAAGTCAGACTGAAACATCATCGTAAGCTCCTCTCTCCTATGTGCGGGTTATTTGTGTATTCCAGTCACGTTTTTTTTTTTTTTTTCCGCTTTGTCTTGATGTATTTTCTTGTCTAATCCAACACTTCACAGAACACAGTGCTGTATGACCCTTGTGGGTTTAGCATTTAGTTATGAATATAATAATCAGCCTAGATAGTTATTTACTACATAAAGTTTGTTTGTGATGAGAGTTTGGTATGCATAGCTTGCTGGCAGGTCTATAAATCTTGCCCACACCTTCAGTCTGTAAGGTATGCATACTTGGCAGTCAATTGAGCTTGTAGTGAATAGAGATATTTCAGGAAGGTTTTGGCACTAAGATAGACTAAGGTGTGGATTTAGGTAGTCTACCTACTTGGACGTTATTAATTTGCAAGAAATATACTATGGCAGCTTCAAGGTTTTAGTCTTAGTGCTATTTATATTGAGGCAATGTGTGTAGGTGACCATGTTTTAACATCCCATGCTTTACACCCCTATGTATTGATACCATTATAATCTCATACATTCCCCATTTTGCCTTCATGGATAACATTTTGTCTCCACAGATGTGTCAATGCACCACCCATATATAAATTATAAAAATAAATAATATATAAAAAATAATTTCAGCCAATCAGCAATGGGAATAAATATCTCTGTCGTAGCATCTCAACCATTAACACCATTTGTGCTGCAGTTTATTGTGTACTCTTCGGTTTGAAGCTACCACGTGATGCCCACATTTACTCCTGATTATTTACAATTCATAATTGCATTTGTGATTTAATTTTGCCATCTTTTGTGTTACCAAGTGATCATGGCCCCTGAAGTGAGCAATAAACTGGAAATTTCTCTGAAAAAAAAAAAAATGGACAAATTGACAAATGTAAGTTAGTGAAAAACAGCAGAGAAATTATCATGGACATGGTAGAGTAAAAGTTGCACTACTGAGGTCTTGGAACAAATTACCATAAATTACCATAATCATAACTGTGCTAAACCCACTAGTCATTTATGTAGTTAAATTACCATAAAACCATGTATTTTGGAGTTTGTCAAGACAGTTATGAGATACAATCCATCTTCTGGAACGGGTTAATATTATAACTCAAACCACTGTATACTGAAAGGACATTAAAATACAGTAATGTACAATATATTCTTTATATTTGTGTTAATATTACATTTAAAAATATGCTTTAACAGGTCTTCTGAATAGTAAATGAACAATTGCTATACAATTCTTTCCGATTTTTGAGTTTTCCCTTAGAAACTGTCTTCCTAATTTTACTTTTTAAGCTTTCATGATGGTTCCTATATTATTAAATTCATTTCATAAAGGTTGACCCTCATATCAGTTTGTACTATATTTAATTCTGATCTAATTATGAATATTTATATAAATTTAACTATTTAAATTGGTAATACAACAATTCTCATTATATTTTAATGCCTTAATTGTATTAAAGTAATCTCTAATTTCTACAACTCCATCTATATCTCAATAAGTAGTTTAGGCTTGTTAAATTATACAATACCAATCTGCTAACCCAATATTATATCAATTATGAACTTTTAAAATTAATTACATATTTTTTTTTCCCAACAAGTCGGCCATCTCCCACTGAAGCAAGGTGACCCAAAAGGAAAGAAAATACTTTCATCTCACTCATGCATAATCACAGTTTTTGCAGAGGAACCCAGATACAACAGTTTAGCAGCATATATAAAGATACATAACATACCCCATCCAAACTGCCAATATCCCAAACCCCTCCTTTAAAGTGCAGGCATTGTATTTCCCATTTCCAGTACTTAAGTCTAGCTATATAAAAATAACCGGTTTCCCTGAATCCCTTCACTAAATGTTACCCTGCACACACTCCATTATTATAAAATAGAATATTTATAATGAAAAATATGTGCATACAATCTATCCCAAAACTGTAATATCTAATGTACCTAAAAAAAATTATCATACATATTTCATGGCCAAGGAATAGTGTAATAAGAAACCATTAATTCGGTAGGTACTCAATTTTGTCAGTTTTTCTATATGTAAATACAGTGGAACCTCGGCACTTGAACCCCTCAAGGAAGGCTCCTTGACGCCGGTGAGGGGCTCTTGATCTAGGGAATTGGATCTGTGCTCCAGTTGGATCTGTGTGCCAGTTCCCTGAATTAAGCCTGAATGCCTTCCATCCCCCCATAGGCGCTGTATAATCCTACGGGTTTAGTGCTTCCCCCTTGATTATAATAATAATAATCGGCACTTGAACTTAATTGGTTCCAGAAGGCTGTTCGAGTAGAAAATTAATTTTTCCCAACCAATTTTCTTTTTGGTTGGCTGTTATCACTAACCCTCTTGGGCCCCATGATGACTTATTTATACAAATATAAAAAAACACCAAAAAATGCAAAACATGAAATAGTTTACAGAGAAGTTCTGGCAGGTCATGTTTGTTTGGTCGAGTGCAAAGCAAACAGTCAACTACTGACCGATTTGTTCACGGAAAAAAAGTGTTCGAATACCGAATTGTTTGAGTACGGAGCTGTTTGAGTACCAAGGTTCCACTGTATTATGTGGTGTAATTGTAGCTACTGGATGCAGATTTCCCCCTCACTTTATGAAAATACGTCTATATGCAGCAAACCCTGTTTCTATCTGGAATTCATTATATATATGTAGTAAAAATTTGTTTTTGTGTGGATGGTCACCAAGTGAAAAATTTTATTTAAATGTTATTACCCAACCCCAGTGCACCACTTGATTTTTTTTAAATATTTTTTTAAATATCACTGTGTTGATTAATCTTGCATGTATATTTTTTCATGAACTGTACACTTATTCCTTATTATTAAGAATGCAATATATTTTTCTGTTTTTTTTTTTTTTTTTATACAAAATGTGTTCATACTTGTATATGTTCACATTATGCACATAATAAGATCTCATATTTTTTTAGCAGAAAATGTTCAAGAACTGTAGATTTATTAATGTTTATGCAGGACCACAGTTGGGCTGTAGGAGTAGAAAAGTTCTCAAAACTGGTCTCATTGATTGGTGGGCAAGAATGGGAAGGAGGAGAGGAATAAGCTAGGAAGGTGGCCTCAGCCCTGGACTGGTAGCCTGTCCTGGACAAGTTTAGCCAGTGAACAAGGAATGGGACTGCACACCCCCTGTTTGATTAATTTTGATTATATTATTTTCTCAGTTTTTCATCCAAATTCATTTTTTTTTCTATATATGACCCTTTGGTGCATGTGTGGGAATCATTAGTCAAGAATGTAGAATCTGCAAAGTCTCAGAAAGAATCCTTAAATGTTACATGTTACAAGAGGCTCATTTATGTACCATCAGCCACGAAATCATCAATATCATCAAGTATAAGTAAAAAGATATTTTTGTAGTACTGAAATCTATGCATATGTATCCACCACACAGAGATTTCATCTTGGGTGCATCCAGAACAAAAACCACATTGAACACAAATATTCTACCTTAGTTAACCCTTAAACGGTTCAAATAGATCGACGTTCAAATCCGTAGTGCTCCAAAAGTAGATCTATGTTTTTTACATATTTTCAAATATAAAAAAAAAAATGTAGGTAAAAGTTTTTTACACATTTTCAAATGTAAAAAAAAAAAAATGATGTACATTTTGAAAAAACGTATATGTATGTTTGGACCATTTAAGGGTTAACATATTCATAGCAATGTGTTAAGGGTTGAACAGTGCCTTAACTCTTTCAATATGACTCACAAAGATCTATGTTACTGGTGTCATTGTTGCTTATGTAGATCTATGCTTAAATCATAACACCTTCAAATTTGCTGAGCAGTAAATTTTGGCATGGACATAAGAGAATAGATCAGTGTGGTGGTGTATGTAATAAAAAAAAAGATTATGCCCCATGTAGTGCATTGTGTGTCTGGGTTAAAATACTTTAGGGTCATTTTCTAGGGTAATTTTCAGTGTCAACAGATACATATTTATTTATTAACACATCGGTTGTTTCCCACTAAGGCAGGGTGGCCCCCAAAAAAAAAACTTTCATCATTCACTCCATCACTGTCTTGCCAGAGGCACACTCAAACTAGTTAAAAAACGCAACATTAACACCCCTCCTTCAGAGTGCAGGTACTGCACTTTCTACCTCCAGGATTCAAGTCCAGCCTGCCAGTTTCCCTGAATAAATGTTACCTTCTTCACACTCCAACAGCAGGTCAAGTCCTAAAAACCATTTGTCTCCACTCCTAACATGCTTGCTGGAAGTCCAAGCCCCTCACACATAAAACCTCCTTTACCCCCTCCCTCCAACCTTTCCTAGGCTGACTCCTACCCTGTCTTCCGTCCACTGCAGATTTATACGCTCTCAAAGTCATTCTAGTTTGTTCCATCCTCTCTAAATGTCTGAACCACCTCAACAACCTCTGAAATAAGCCTCAAGAGTTGTGGAAATGGTAAATATTTGGTGATTTTCCTGGGAAAGATGTAGGTAGGGAGGCCCTGTTGCCCCATCCTATTCTGTATTATGGGTTTTTACTAGGTTTGCTTCAATTATTAGAATGGGCTAACCATGATCAAGCATTCTAAGTTATAATTTATTAGCTAAGAAATGGGGAAAAACCGTCAAATTTTTGTTCAATGATGAATTTAAAACCAAGGGCAAGCATTATATAGGAGAGGCCCAGGGGTGTGATTAACCATTGTGCTGTCCGTCACAGAGATCCATGTCACTGAGGTCAGGGTCCCTGACATAGTTCTACATCATAAGCTGTGAGTGGTACATTCTGGCACAGAGATGAGAGAATGGGTCTGTGCAGTAAGTGTGGACCATATAAAAAAAAAAAATGCTCTACAGGGTGCATGATGGGAAAAACAAAACTGACTGTGTGTATGGCTTAATCCTTTAACTGTCCAAATGTAGATCTATGTTTTCACTGCTAAATTTTTTTTTTAAATAAAGAGGGCAATTTTCTGTGTATAATAAGACAAAAAAATTATAGGGCCAGTACTTACTGAGATAAAAAGGCCGTGAGGATGGCGCTGGATGCTCACCTGATGGCAACATGGAGTCCTGCTGCTTTCAGCAGTGTTGCCAATATACCTTTTTTTTTTTTTTTTAATTTACATAATTTTTATGGCGGGATGTCTAAGCTGTCGTATCTGAGTGATTGTGTATGAGTGGTGGTGAAAGTGTTGAATAATGATGAAAGTTTTTTTTCTTTCTTTTTGGGTCACCCTGCTTCCGTGGGAAACGGCCAATTTGTTAAAAAAAATTATGTCCTGATAATTACAATTTATAGTAGTTCTTGTGATTTTATAGCCAATCTGTGTTCTGACACTAATATTAGGTACTGAAATATTAATCAAATAGTCACAAACACACTGACAGGTGAGCATTTTCACCTGCCTTGGTCACATACTATTGTCTAGAAATATATACAAAATATTTATAGGTCCCTGTAATGTTTTCAACATGCTGGAGTATATGAAATTCCTTGAAGCATGGTGTAAGATGTCACTCCACACTGCTAATGGTGCAGTCACTCTAATACTGCTGATTGTGAACTGCTCTAGTGAACCTTGGCTTTACTTGCTCTCACTGTTACACATAAATATGTCTGTCTGTCTAGCTCTGCCTCTGTTTATCTGTCTTTCTGTTTGTCTCTCTCTATCTCAGTGAGAACCACTCATGAACCAATAGGTATTACACATTATGTAGAGTTGTCACGTCTGATTCCTGAACAAGTGAAAATGTATATTACTTGTGTCATACACATTATGCCTTATATCTACAAGCACAGTGTAGCACTTTGTCTGGATTTTTGGGGTTATCCTAGGTAATTTACAAAATGTATGATAACTGTATTTATGTGTACCTGTGAGATAAAAGCAGAGATAGACAGAGACAGCCAAAGTCAATCAGCCGGCTTGCTGAACACGTATTACACATTCCAGAATTTTCTCTACTTAGGGCACAGGTTATAGGACATTCTGGCAATATGACAATTACAATGGTGTCAAAATTGAAAGGATGTTGAATAGAAATAATGTTGCTTTAGTGACGAATGCCTACAGTGTTTTGGAATTTGTTAAATATAGTGTAAAATCATCCAAACCAATTTTTGGGAGTTTTAATGGGATAGATCTGATGGTTTAATGGACAATTTCTTGTGATTTAGAATTAGTACAGATGGATACTACTGAAATAGCTAGGAATTAAATGTTTTGAGCACTGGAATAGGCCTCAAAATGGAAAAAAAAATTGCTGCTGCATAAAATGCTCCCTAATTTTCAATTTCACACCTGCATAATTCTGTAAGACTGCATCAAACTTTATAGTTCTGGTGAAATATTTTCTATTTTAGAAAACTTTTTTAAATGTTGATTAATATTCACAAAAATACCAAATCCACTGCAAATTCTAGTTATAATACCCTAGTGCAGTACTTTGTCTAGAGTTTGGATGCTGGAGTGTTGTAGCTCATCTCCTGCCAGTGCTCGTCCCTCTCTGTGGCACCCGGGGCACTGATCATTTCTCTCTTCAGGTGCTGGTAAACCTGCAGTAAAATAAGTAACCATTTACACCCTCTACATGTAAAGTCCACAGTTATTTATAAATATATACTGTTGTACCTAGGTAGTAGGTTGGTAGACAGCAACCACCCAGGGAGGTACTACCGTCCTGCCAAGTGAGTGTTTACCTGGAGTTTACCTGGAGAGAGTTTCGGGGGTCAATGCCCCCGCGGCCCGGTCTGTCTTGTTTTACATGATGGTAGGATTGCTGGTGTCTTTTGTCTGTCTCATAAACATGCAAGATTTCAGGTATGTCTTGCTACTTCTACTTACACTTAGGTCACACTACACATACATGTACAAGCATATATATACACACCCCTCTGGGTTTTCTGCTATTTTCTTTCTAGTTCTTGTTCTTGTTTATTTCCTCTTATTTCCATGGGGAAGTGGAACAGAATTCTTCCTCCGTAAGCCATGCATGTTGTAAGAGGCGACTAAAATGCCGGGAGCAAGGGGCTAGTAACCTCTTCTCCTGTATATATTACTAAATGTAAAAGGAGAAACTTTTGATTTTCCTTTTGGGCCACCCTGCTTCGGTAGGATACGGCCAGTGTGTTGAAAGAAAGAAAGAATACTGTCGTATCTGAGCGCCTCTGCAAAGAGAGTGATTACACGAGTGAGGTGAGGTGAAAGTGTTGAATGATGATGAAAGTATTTTCCTTCTTTTTGGGCCATCCTGCCTCAGTGGGAGATGACCGATGTGTTGGAAAAAAGAAAAACAAAAAAATTAAGATGTAATTATTTGCATTAGCCATAAACTATATAGCAGATATGTCAGTATGATTAAGGGACTAGGGAAGAGTTATGCTGAGTAATCAATAATACTGTAGGGAGATATTACACTAAGTTATCCTCACTTGTAGGAAGCAGGTTACCAGTTGTCATTTAAGGCATACTCATGACCCCTCCAGGGAGGTTTTTTCACTGCTGAGCAGCTCATGATCCAAGGAACTGAACCCATCCTCCCTTGCCTTCCAATGAACCTGATTACCTAGCACTCCTTCATCTGCTGTATGATCCTCAGGGTTTAATGCTCTTAAAATGAATGTATTAACTGACTCTGGTAAGGAGGTCTTCAGTCCAAGGAACTGGACCTGACTACCTCCTTCTCTGGTTGGTAATGTAAATACTGTGATGGTATGGTCTCCCACACAATGACACTGAGGTTGACAGTGTGGAGGTCTCCCACACCATGGCACTGAGGTTGATGGTGTGGAGGTCTCCCACACCATGGCACTGAGGTTGATGGTGTGGTCTCCCACACCATGACAGTGAGGTTGATGGTGGAGGTCTCCCACACCATCACACTGGGTAACAGGATTATATTATATTATATTTTTTTTTTCAACAAGTCGGCCATCTCCCACCGAGGCAGGGTGACCCAAAAAAGAAAGAAAATCCCCAAGAAGAAAATACTTTCATCATTCAACACTTTCACCACACTCGCACATTATCACTGTTTTTGCAGAGGTGCTCAGAATACAACAGTTTAGAAGCATACACATATAAAGATACACAACATATCCCTCCAAACTGCCAATATCCCAAACCCCTCCTTTAAAGTCCAGGACTCAAGACCAACTACAGTGGACCCCCGGTTAACGATTTTAATCCGTGCAAGAGGGGTAATTGTTATGCGAAATAATCGTTATGTGAATGAATTTTCCCCACAAGAAATAATGGAAATAAAATTAATCCGTGCAAGACACCCAAAAGTATGAAAAAAAATTTTTTTTTACCACATGAAATATTAATTTTAATACACACAAACTGAAAAAGGCATGCACACTTACATGACACTTACTTTTATTGAAGATCTGGTGATGATTGATGGGATGGGAGGAGGGGAGAGCATTATCTTCTTACTGTTTAGAAGGGGAATCCCCTTCCATTAGAACTTGAGGTAGCAAGTCCTTTTCTGGGGTTACTTCCCTTCTTCTTTTAATGCCACTAGGGCCAGCTTCAGAGTCACTGGACTTCTTTCGCACAAGATATCTGTCCATAGTGGCCTGTACCTCTCGTTCCTTTATCACTTCCCTAAAGTGTTTCACAACATTGTCAGTGTAATAATCACCAGCACGGCTTGCAATAGCTGTGTGAGGGTGATTTTCATCCATGAAGGTTTGCACTTCAAGCCACTTTGCACAGATTTCCTTTATCTTTGTAGTAGGCAACTTCTTCAATTTCTCTCTCCCCTCCTCTGAACCAGTTTCCCCAGGTCTGGCCTCTTGCTCTTGAAGTTGATCTATCAGCTCATCAGTGGTTAGTTCTTCATTGTCCTCCTCCACCAACTCTTCCACATCCTCCCCACTAACCTCCAACCCCAAGGACTTTCCCAATGCCACAATGGATTCCTCAACTGGCACAGGATTCTCAGGGTTAGCCTCAAACCCTTCAAAATCCCTTTTGTCTACACATTCTGGCCACAGTTTCTTCCAAGCAGAGTTCAAGGTCCTCTTAGTCACTTCCTCCCAAGCCTTACCTATAAGGTTTACACAATTGAGGATATTAAAGTGATCTCTCCAAAACTCTCTTAGAGTCAGTTGAGTTTCTGAGGTCATTACAAAGCACCTTTCAAACAGAGCTTTTGTGTACAGTTTCTTGAAGTTGGAAATAACCTGCTGGTCCATGGGCTGCAGGAGAGGAGTGGTATTAGGAGGCAAAAACTTCACCTTAATGAAGCTCATGTCCCCATAAAGTCGCTCTGCCACTCTGTAGGATGACCAGGGGCATTGTCTAACACCAGGAGGCACTTAAGTTCTAATTTCTTTTCAGTTAGGTAATCTTTCACATTGGGGGCAAATGCATGGTGTAACCAGTTATAGAAAAATTCCCTAGTGACCCATGCCTTACTGTTTGCCCTCCACAGCACACACAAATTATCCTTGAGGACATTCTTTTGCCTGAACGCTCTGGGAGTTTCAGAGTGATACACTAATAAAGGCTTCACTTTGCAATCACCAGTAGCATTGGCACACATGAGAAGAGTAAGCCTGTCTTTCATAGGCTTATGTCCTGGGAGTGCCTTTTCCTCCTGAGTAATGTAGGTCCTGCTTGGCATTTTCTTCCAGAACAGGCCTGTTTCATCACAATTAAACACTTGTTCAGGTTTCAGTCCTTCAGTTTCTATGTACTCCTTGAATTCCTGCACATATTTTTCAGCCGCTTTGTGGTCCGAACTGGCAGCCTCACCATGCCTTATCACACTATGGATGCCACTACGCTTCTTAAATCTCTCAAACCAACCTTTGCTGGCCTTAAATTCACTCACATCATCACTAGTTGCAGGCATTTTTTTAATTAAATCGTCATGCAACTTCCTAGCCTTTTCACATATGATCGCTTGAGAGACGCTATCTCCTGCTAGCTGTTTTTCATTTATCCACACCAATAAGAGTCTCTCAACATCTTCCATCACTTGCGATCTTTGTTTCGAAAACACAGTTAAACCTTTGGCAAGAACAGCTTCCTTGATTGTCTTTTTGGTGCCCACAATAGTAGCGATGGTTGATTGGGGTTTCTTGTACAACTTGACTAGGTCGGCGATACGCACTCCACTTTCATACTTATCAATGATCTCTTTCTTCGTTTCATGGGTATTCTTACCCTTATTGGTGTACGGTTGCACTAGAAGCTTTCTTGGGGCCCATGGTCACTTATTTTCCAGAAACAGCACCGAAAACACTGTAATAATACGAAATATTCCGAGTGTATGCTTGGATGTTAGCGCGGAGGCTGGCTGGTAAACAATGGCACGGGCGGCACATGTGAGGCTGGCTGAGGGCGCACATTGGACGCGTCTCGAACGAAAATCGGTGAGCAGGTTTTTAATCGGTATGCGCGGCAAAAATTTTGCGATTAAAGTAAGCGGTATGCGAAATAATCGCTATGTGATGCCATCGTTATGCGGGGGTCCACTGTATATGAAAATAACCGGTTTCCCTGAATCCCTTCACTAAATATTACCCTGCTCACACTCCAACAGATTGTCAGGTCCCAAGTACCATTCGTCTCCATTCACTCCTATCTAACACGCTCACGCACGCTTGCTGGAAGTCCAAGCCCCTTACCCACAAAACCTCCTTTACCCCCTCTCTCCAACCCTTTCGAGGACGACCCCTACCCCGCCTTCCTTCCCCTATAGATTTATATGCTTTCCATGTCATTCTACTTTGATCCATTCTCTCTAAATGACCAAACCACCTCTTATGCCCTCTGACTAATACTTTATTAACTCCACACCTTTTCCTAATTTCCACACTCCGAATTTTCTGCATAATATTTACACCACACATTGCCCTTAAACAGGACATCTCCGCTGCCTCCAACCGTCTCCTCACTGCTGCATTTACCACCCAAGCTTCACACCCATATAAGAAGTGTTGGTACTACTATACTTTCATACATTCCCTTCTTTGCCTCCATAGATAACGTTTTTTGACTCCACATATACCTCAACGCACCACTCACCTTTTTGTCCTCATCAATTCTATGATTAACCTCATCCTTCATAAATTCATCCGCTGACATGTCAACTCCCAAGTATCTGAAAACATTCACTTCTTCCATACTCCTCCTCCCCAATTTGATATCCAATTTTTCTTTATCTAAATCATTTGATACCCTCATCACCTTACTCTTTTCTATGTTCACTTTCAACTTTCTACCTTTACACACATTCCCAAACTCATCCACTAACCTTTGCAATTTTTCTTTAGAATCTCCCATAAGCACAGTATCATCAGCAAAAAGAAACTGTGTCAATTCCCATTTTGAATTTGATTCCCCCAAATTTAATCCCACCTCTCTCCCAAACACCCTAGCATTTACTTCCTTTACAACCCCATCTATAAATATATTAACCATGGTGACATTACACATCCCTGTCTAAGACCTACTTTTACCGGGAAGTATTCTCCATCTCTTCTACACACCCTAACCTGAGCCTCACTATCTTCATAAAAACTCTTTACAGCATTTA